GCTCGGGCGCCCAGGGACGGGGGCGGGGCCGCTGCGGGGGGCGGGGCGGAGAGGAGCGCGCGCACGTGACACGCGCCAACATGGCTGCGCCCAGGGCCGTCCGCCTGCCGCTCCGCCGAGGTAAGCGTGAGAGCCCCGTCGCGGAGCGCTAGCACGGTCGTCCGCTGGCCGTGCCCCGGGTGAAAGGGACACGTGCCCGCGCACGGGAATGTGCTTTCAGCCCCGCACGCACGCACTCGCCAGGACACACTCTGGAACGCACACACGTGTGCATTCTCACTCCCCCCGCCCGGACCACGTCACTGCGTCGTTTCTCTTGGAGATGTATGAGTCGTGGAGTCAAGGTTTCTCCTTCCGTGGTATAATCATGGTTAAAGACGCTCTTTCTGGCTGCCAGGCAGGGAAACTAGAGCCTGGGGTTGCTTTCTCTACGGCTGTTCGGTTGACATTGTTTTGAGGAACTTGCGAATAAATGACCTAAGAGATGGTTCTTTTCTGTTATTCTTTTCTGATGACTTAGAACAAACGGGTCTGAGTAGCTCCAAATAAATGTTACCCTGAGAGTTGAGATTTTAGTTAAATGTACAAATACTTTTGCAGCTGAATTAGGAGAACCTTGGATTTGAATTACTTTCTGAATCTTTGCTGGAAAGGACTTTGAAATATTTCACAGGTGAGGAAACAAAAGTGAATATATGTTGGGCCGGGGAGATAGCTCAGTAGAATAAGTGCTTGCCTGGCAAGCGCAGGGTCCTGAGTTCAATCCCTGGTACCGCAAAAAAAAAAAAAAAAGTGAATATGTGTTGAGGGGGCTACTTAAGGGGTAGGCTCATGAGACTGAAACAGTCCATGTAGATACTTTAATACTGATAGCTACCAGTTATTGTGTTTTTAGTACCTTTGATGTTGCGTTAAGCACCTTACATTCAATAGCTGCCTTTTAAAGTCCAATGAGTTAGGACTTACTCTCTTTGGAAACAGGAAAAGTGAAACTAGGAAGGTTCAGTAGTATGGCTAAGGTCCCATAGATGGTAAGAGGCAGGACATACATTTGAATGTGAGCCTTTGGGGGAGCTGGATGGTACCTGGGATTGAACCCAATGCCTTTACACTGAGTTACCTCGCCAAACTTTTATCATGTATGTGTTCTTATTTTTGTTTTGAGGCTGAGTTTCACTAAGTCTCCCAGGTTGGGCTCAAATTTGCCATCCTCCTGCTTCAGCTTCCCAAAGTGCTAGGATTATATGTGTGGGCCACAATGCCAGGTTTTGTTTTTTTGTTTAAATACATGTTCATTCCATTGTACTGTATGGTATAGTCTTGCCGTAGAAATCTGCACAAAGTTCAAGTGAGATAGGCAAGTATGAGTGTGTGCAAGAAGATGGATGTAGTTATAAGAAGGAGCAAAGCTGATGGATGGACAGACGAAGGTGTTTTTTTAAAAAATATTATTTGCTTGATACAGGGTCTCACTACACAATTCAGACTCATAGTGATCCTCCTGTCTTAGCCTCCCCAGCGCTGTAATTACAGGCATGCACCACCACACCCGGTTCCAGGGGATGGCATGGTATGTGGTACCAGGGATTGAACCTGGGTCCTTGCTTTTGCAAGGTAGACGCTTAAACTGACGAGCTGTCTGCCTGGCCCAGACATCAGTGTTTGAATAGGGAATAACAGGAAGATTAATGAGGAATATGTAAGGGGAAGGAGATGTAGCAAGCATTTTGGGCTGGTTACTTGGAAGACCGGAGGTCAGCATGAGATTTGCAGACTGGTGAAAAGAGAGCCCAGTTACATCTCTTAGGATCTAGGCTGCAGTCCAAACTCTATTTATTAATTAAGTTACTTTTTCTCTTTCCTTTTTGGATGAGAAACAAAGTCATCAGATTCTGTTTTTGTGCATTCCAAGTAACCATGAGGACAATCCAAAGAGATAAGGTAGAGAACCCCAACCCCAAAAATGTATATTTGGGGGTATGCATTTGTATGTATGTGTGTAGTTGGGTTTTTTGTTGTTCTTGTTTTTGTTTTTATGTATTTAGTACAGGGTCTCACTACGTAGATTGGACTCGTAGCAATTCTCCTGTTTTCAGCCTCCCAAGCGCTGGGATTACAGGCACGCGCCACCACGCCCAGTCTCAGTCTCTGTCTCTGTGCGCCCTGGGGGCAGGGCCAGCACAGCATGCTGGAGATTAAACCCTGGCTGCTGCGCTCTGCCTAAGTAGGTACTTTAGTCCACTGAGCTATCTGGCTGGCCCTTATATATGTAGTTTTTAAGTATCAGCAGTCCTGAATCTTTTTGGCACCAAGGATTGCTTTTGTTGAAGACTCTTTGGTTTGGGAATGATTCAAGTTCATTACATTAATTATGTACTTATTACATTATTACTTCATTGTAATAATGAAATAATTATACAACTCACTGTAAAGCAGAATCAGTGGGAGCTCTGAAGTTTTTTTTCTGTACCAAGCCTCTGAATTTTAATTTTTTTAAAAAAATATATATTTATGTATTTGGTACAAGGTCTCACTCTGCAGCTTGGAGGCAGGGCTGGCACAGCATGTGGTGCCAGGGATTGAACTCAGTCTGTGTGCTTGCCAGGCAGGTGCTTAGACTGCTGAGCTATCTCCATGCCCCATCCCCCCAAGTCACATATCCAGGCGATGGGAGATAGTGATGCCTGAAGTGTGCTACTTACGTCATGTCTATTTTGTAATCTTATTTTGGTTGCTGTCACTGCAGAGCACCCTGATATACAAAGGTAGGATGTTAGAAACAGAAGTAGGCTTTTCAAAGCTTTGTCATAATCTCAGGGTATTCAGTCTTGAGTTTCATCCAGAAAGTGTAGAAATTTGAAATTGTCTCAAACATACTTTTAAAGCTATTATTATTTGCAGTCTCAAGCAGTTGATCATCAAGAATGGAAAAGTTGATTCACCTAGTTTATTCACAGATGGGTTGTGGACTCACTTATTTTCAGTTCAGGAGTCTTTTTCTGGTTGGCAAGTACCAGTCAGACTCTTTTGAAAACTAGAATAGGTGATCATGCGCTTGCTGGGATGAAGGACCTGGCTCATTCTCTTTTAAAATCTCTGCTAATGTTTGAAACTTGTTAAAAATCTCAGTGTTTATTTGTTGCCCCTATGATTCCGGTTTAGCTTTGAATGAAACAGCTTTATCTATGGACTTAAACTCAGTTGTCATTCTCCCCTGAAGTGACACATTGAATTCCTGGGTTAAATTTATCACACGAGTAAGCAAGTTTTGCAGCCCATTCAGTGTCACTGAAATGTGCTGCGAGTGGTGATTTTTCCTTTAAAAAAAGTCTGGAAAGGTTGTATTAACTAAAAACTGTGGTCAACAGATTACCTTTATCTTTTTTTTTTTTTTAAATTTATTTATTTTAGGTGGGGGGGGGCAGCTCAGCCCACCAGGGGGCGGGGCTGGCTGCCTTGTGGTACTGGGGGATTGAACCGCGGTCCCTGTGCTTTGCTTAGCTTAGCTTAGCTTGCTCTAAGTAGGTGCTTTAGACCACTGAGCCATCTCACCAGCCCAGATTACCTTTAGAAAAACATCTCACTTCCGTGAATCTGTGTGAGAGACCACATGTGTGCTCTGTCCATCTCCTCACAGAGCTATGTAAACAGATTTAAGGAAAGGTACTTTAATGTAGTGGATAGTTTTAATCACATCTTGTGAAATGTCTTTGTGTTCAGGTGACATTTTTTCACCTAGCCAGCATTTCTATATGGATGACGCAGTATGTCGAATTACATTCAAAAGTGACCTCTTGGCCCTGAGTAGTGAGTCCAGAAAGCCATCCTGTCATGGCAGCTGCTCCATCTGTACACATACTGATACAACATTCAGATTTATAGATCTGGTGTTGGTTGGCAACAAAAGTGTATGTATCCTCATGCACATCTTCCTGAACAATAATGACAAACTTTGTTGTTAGTGTTGGTATGTTTGTCAATCTGGGATGTGAACCATAGTGACTCATTAATCCTCTCTTAACAATTATGCTTCAGTATCTTTGCTAAGCTGGGAAGAAACTCAGTGGCATAAGTTCCTGCTGGCAAATGCAAGGTCCTGAGTTCAGTCGCTAGTACCAAAAAAAGAAAAAAATTCCTGTGCTGTTTCATCAATTTGTCTAATTATGATGCTATCCAAAAGAGAAATGTCCACCACCTTTTGAAGTACAGCCTTCCCAAAAGTTCACAACAGATGTCCTTAGCAGAAAACAGGATCAACTCTTCACCAGCAGTACAGAGCTTCTTAACTTTAGCAGTGTGGTTAGCCACTACACATGATGCTTTTAGTGCAGACATATTTGATCAAGTCGTGGCCTTCAATAACTGATTCTGTTCTTCGTGTTCATATTTATTTATTTTTAAACTCTAAAAGTCAGGTCTTTTGATGCAGCATGCTTGGTCTTTATGTGGTGAAGAAGTTTTGAAGGGTTCATGGCATTGCTGGCTGGCTGGTTGACACATAGTATACAAAATAGGCCAAGAGAATGTGACTTACCTGTTGCAATGAACCTGTGATTTAAGACGACTCTTGATATTTTCTTTTAAATGCAGCTTTCTTTCAGTTGGCAGTCTAGGGTTTTTTGCTGTTTCGCCATTAAGTCTTTGTAGCTTTTTCAAAGAGGCTTTCCAGTGACATTTAACTTCTGCTCATTTTGGCTCGGGCTAGTTTGTGTATGTACCAAAACTGTGACTGAGAGAAGTATAAAGTGTGAGAAATAGGTGCAGGTAGAAGTGGTGAATGAACTAATGGGTGGACAACACACAGACTAAAATAATTGCCCGATTCTGACCAAGCCTGCTACCAGATGCAGCTGTATAATTGAAATATAATTCACTTGCCACTGTAAAGCCTCCTGCCAGT